TCCCTTACAGGCAGCTTACAGCAAGGATACACAAATTCTTCAGGGAACCTGCAGAAACCTGATGACACACAAGTAACTTAACTTCCCGCCCCATGTATAAAACAGAGTCCCAAGACTGCCTATGACAAAGAATGTTAGAAAGTCCTATGAACATATTTGCTAAAGGTGCAAGGTAAGGCAAAGGATGTGGACTGTTGGGAAAAAAAAATAAACCAGTCAACCAACCAACCAAACAAAAAAAAACAACCACCAGTTTGCGTAGCCTGAGCCACAATTTCTCCACAACTGATGCTGACATAGTCACAAAAAATGAAGTGACAATACACAGTATTAGTAAACGACACTTCCTACCTAGAAGCATTCACTAGCCTAAAAGGCTTAGAGCCAGCAATACAAAAGCATATCAAGTCCCGAAAAAGCAGGTGGATCCCACTGGAAAACAGAAGATTTTCTCACACAACTTGAAACCAGCTTCTCCCCGACTGGTTATTGTGTTGTTATTGTGTTTCAGGTTTGAATCCGAGCAAGTGGGTGGCATTCATTCCTCTGCTATTCACACCCTCACTGCCTCAGCCAGGGCTCCTCAACCCCCACTACAGTCAGCTTCCCTGCCTCCTATGGGTACAACATGAATGAGCCAGCAAGCGTAAGATACACTCACGATTTTTGCCCATGCTTGTGAGAGCAGGGGAAAGGAGAAATGCTCCTGACTCATACCGCAGGCACAGAGCTGGGTGGGAGAGCTGGTTCCTGTATCCAGCTCTTGCCGTACTGACACCCTCCTGCTCCTCCTGTGGGCTATGTGTCCCCCATGTGTCCTTCCTTGCCTGTCATTTCTTCCTTGCCCATTTTCTGCAGAACTTAGTAAAGGCAGTAATGACGTACAGACCTCCTGCCAAAGAGACTCAGACCCCACAGTTTGGTTAGGCAGAACAAGCATGCCATGCCCAAGGTGAACCATGGCCAATCCCTTGATGATCAGCAAACAACACGCAAGAAAAGAAGAGCTTTCCAAGAAAAGGAGGTCTGCGAGAGAAGGTGCAACAACAGCTATTGAAATATATAAAAGGCCACTGCAAAGAGGAAATTACAGAGAATTGTTTCAATTGAAGCAAGAGAGGAGTAAGGTGCTAAAGGAAGTAGTCTGTAATAGTTCCAGAAGTTTTACAACTAACAGTTTAGAAGATTTTTGGAGTCTCCGTTACAAAAAGTCTCAAAAACAAGTCAAATACACCTCCCTGCAAGCAATTCTAGTCCTACTGTTTGAAATCAGACAAAACCATGGACACTTCTTCCCTTTGCTAAGTGTGAAACAGAGCTGAAGGGTCACTCTCCCTTGTTCACTCCCATGCTTCCTCGTTGCAACATTTCATTTAACCAGAGCAAAATGCACAGAAAGAAAATAGAAGGCAAGCTCTCGGGTTAGCAGTAACACCAAGCAGCTAAACAAATGTTAAGAGAACTTAGAAATTACTAGTTACCGCACATACAAGGTCCTTCAGTAACAACCTCAAAATGTATGTCTGATGTCCTGCCAAATACAATACTGGAGGATTTACCACACAGGGTTTGCGGCACACTAAGTTATTCATGAACAAAACTGAGCTAGATTGTTTCCAAATGGAAATAGATACCCTTTCCATCAAGATAAAACAAATGCCAATACCAATCCTTTTTTAATGAAATTAGCAGTGGCTTAAAAAATCCAAAAATTTGCCCATACAAAATATGTTCTGATCTAGCAAATTCTGAAGGAGCTGTGGTGATATAACAGATCTAGCTGTGAACTTGTCTGATGAAACAAGTCAAATGCAGTAAGCTCCCCCCACCAGCTGGTAAAGTAACACAGCCAACATTACACAAACTACAGCTCTTCATTCCAAAACATTATTTATTTTGCAATGCATGCAGACAGTCACATGATTTCACTGGGAAGGGCACAGAAAAACATGCTTGAGACTGTGCAGCGGCACCAGGGGAACTCCTTGAGATATTTCAAAAAGCCAGGAGAACTGTTTCTGTTGGACTCAGCACTTGGAGAGGAAGGAAAGATGTGAAGAGCATATTCTGGGAGATCCCTCCAGCTTACATACACAGATATATCAATTTTTAACCTTTTACCAAGACATGCCCTAGTCCCACAACCACACTACTCTTTATCAGGGCAAGGGAGAGAGTATTCAAGGGCAAGGCATGCAGATAAAAGGTATCATTATGCAACTGATTTTATATGGGTGCGGCTCACTGGTTTGATTAACTTACTTATTTGCATTACCAAAGCAGTCGGAGGCCCTGCTGAGGTTTCTGTACATACACGCAATGGAAAAGTTATCCTCACCCCTGGCCATTGATCCCCTTTCTCCAGACATGCTGATACCAGCTGAAGGTGGAAGAGATAAAACTGCCAACAGCCAAGCTGGCACCAGAGCAGGATTACGACCTCGACACCCTGCCTCCCCCTCCAACAGCATCAGATCTGAAACAGCCCAACTCAGAATAAGTGGGCTGTGCAAAATGCTGCGAGGTCAGTGAAGGGAGCAATTGCAGATGTAAAAACAAATACCTGCTGCATGCAGCCTTCCAAAAACACCCACGAGAGGGCAGCATGTGCCAGCAAACAGAGCAGGCAGCCCACCGGGAATGTGCTTAAAAAAAAAAAAAGTATTTTTCCAAAAGGGAAAAATGAATATAGTCATGGGACACCTGCAAATCTGCGGAAGGCTGGCTACCACGAGCTCTTTTCTACTTGGGCACTGGAAACAGTGAGGAAAGCATCGGCTTAAACATTCATGAACTAGCACCAGAGTTTAGCATTTGATGCTCTGGGATGCAATTCCAACACTGAAGACATGCAGCAGCTCCCTGTGGTGCATGTCCAGTCCTTACACATTCGTCCTCTGACACTGGGCCCAAAATGTTTTCATGAGTGAAGTCTGTGCAAGCTATGACAGGAGACTCATGTCCATCCCGCACTTCTGGAGTCAATGTGAGAAAAGATTACGTCCAAAGCTTTGTACAAGAAGTTATAAAGGTACCCTTCCCAGGCTGCCCAACACAATCGCCCACGATTTCCTCATTCAGCTGAGCAAGGCACGAGCACAAAATTGGCACAGGATCTGTCATTACACATTTGATCAATGCCCTAATACCCCAGTATGAAATGAAGATTCAAAGCAAACACCGAGCACATTCATCCAATGTTCGAATACAAATGCTATCCTGACAGCAAGGAGAAACAGCACAACTCAAACCACAAGAACATTTAAGCTGGCAGTTTGTTGCAAGGTCTTAAAACAGCTACACGCTGCCAACAGAAGAAATAACTTTGTATTATCTACAATGACAAAAGCCTTGTACAGAGGCCCTCTCGCCCTCCCCCAGGGTTCAATGAAAAATGGAGTCCTTAATGCAATTTATTCCCTCCTACAGCTGCAAAGTAAGAGTTTTCATACAACACCTTAATACACTGCTCTTTAATTGTATGCTTTCCTTTAACTCCCTCCTACACTCTGCAATTAATAATCCTTGCTTAATGCCTGTACTAGTGTGAAGCTATAGGAAAACAAGCAACTTAACTGTTGCCACTTTCAAAGGAAATCTGATTTTGCTAGTTTTGCTGGGTCTAAGTCACCAGATGCTGTCCTTTAATTACTACACGTAGAAATCTCTTCTTAGATACTTAAAGGGCACCTGAATCGTGACTTGTTTCTCTCTTGTTCAGTCACTCAACAGTGCTCTTCTGCAATCCATCCTCACCCCTTGACAGAAGGGCCACAGGAAAGGAACATTATCTCTAATTTTAGGAGGCATTTGAAGTAACAGCAGAGAAAAGTAAAAGGCAAGGAATGTCAGAAGCCTGCAAGAAAGTTTAACTTACTACTCCAATGCCTGTGACAATAAAGGCAGAAAGTCAGAGGCAGCTACTCAATTAAAAAAAAAAAATACTTGTGTTTCTATTAACCTGTGAGATGACCAGAAATATGACATTTTTGTTTTAAAAATGCTTTGGTTTAAAAATGTAGTAACCCTTACTTTGCTCAACTTACTACCTGCACACTCAGTCTAAAGATGAAGTTCTACCAAAACGGGAAGCCTGTCTCACTTCAGAGCAAGGTTCTCTCTATTAGTCTTACAAGTGTAGATCTATTCTTTATATGGGGTTACCCAGAAAACACTTTGTTCATCACCAAGACTTCAGAGTGGCACTCCTGATGCTTCACCTGTAACACATGGATAAAAGCGTAGGTCTGATCTCGCTTCTTTACATACATGCCAATAGTTTGGTTCAAGGTATTTTGGAGTTTGGAAGGCTATCTCTCTCTTTTCAGCATCGCTCTGGGGACATGTGCAGCCCCACCAGTAGCGCTCCACAGCTGAAATGGAGGACAGATAATCATGGAGAATTATGATAATAAAATTTGATTCTATTCCAGCAAGGCACTTTCCATTATCTGAGACTGATCTATTCACATTCAACTAATCCGACAAGGATCTTTAACAAAAAACCCACAAGAACAACAAAAAAAACCACCCTTAAACTGCTGTACTTTACAATCCCCCCTGTTATTATGTAGAATGAACAGCGGAACTGCAATACTTGATTGCACGGATTAGGATTAAAACTTCTATTTAGGATTATTTACTGAGAGTCAGGGAAAAGGAGGAAAAAAGGACTTATTGAGCAGTCACTCAAGTTTGCTTGATTTCCCTTTCCCCCCCATACTCTGTTCAGCCAGCTTCTTGACTGCTGGAAAGATATTTAAAAGCAGACAGCATAAGAAATTAGTCCAGTTTTAGAAAAACCACCCTGAACAGCCAATCTAAATAGCATCACACCTAAAACTTGCTACAAGGTTGCTCTGTCAACAAGCTTTGTTGAAGTACGTGGTGCTGCCAGGGCAGCACAGAAACCACCACGCCAGCTGCACAAATGCTCTGTTTTAAGATGAAATGCTTTTCTGCGATCACCCAGGAACAGAAGTGCTCACAAAAATACCTTCTCAAGGGCCACAGGTCACAGCATTTAAGAAATGCCTGGAGAGTTCTTGTGCTTCATTAATGGAATGGGATCTATTTGTCCAGAGTTTTTTGTCTAATCAATTAGCAGCAGCAGCAGAATGCCACACCATATTACAGTGCCGAGCACCAATATTACCAAACCCTGCTATCACTGCTGACTTCTGATAAAAAAGGGTCAGAGTGCAAATATAAACATACCTCTAAAACCTCAGGGCTTTAATGATTTTCCCAGAGATCTGATGCTAAGTAATGTTCAGTTACTGGAAGGCATCATACTTACTAAAGTCTCAAATGATGGAAAGAAACATCATCCTGCTCCAGCCATGGCCCCTTGTCAAACTTCAGGTATTCAATGTCTTCGATTACCTGGAATCGGAAGATAAAAATCACACTAAGAGGTGGTCTGATCACAATATCCAAAATCAATGAACATGCCCCCCAAATCAATGAAATAATCAAAATATATTATTAAACAAGTCACCCAGCAAAAAGGCTTTCACTAAAGCTGTATTAACAAAGCAAACGTTTAGAGCTGATACATCATGTCCCAGTCGTATTTCTGGAGGTCGTGGCCCTGCCATAAGCACTGGACAGACACACGGGGGCCAGCTCTGAAGTTCCTTGTGCTTTCAGTCTCGGTGAGCAGAGGACAGCAGGGAATAAATCAGCTGAGAGGTGCCTTATTTCCAAATTCTTACCTGATTCAAGACATTCTTCCTCAACCTGCTGTTGGGGCTTAAAGGGAGTAAAGAAAGTACAATCCCAGTTCTAAGGTAGAATGAGGAAGAAATGGAAACAAATCCAAATTTAACCCCCTGTTGTTGCAAACAAAAACCATCATTCTACATAGGAAGCCTGGACTGGTTTTCAAAAAGGCTCGGTGGCATACTAACCAAGATAGGTTGAGGAGTAATTGTGGCAACGGCCTCTTAGTCATGCCCTGTGTGGTTCACATCACAGAAACCGAGGCACGTTTTGGGCTGGAAAACTCAAAACACTTTGAAGTAACTGTACTGACAAAGTCCAAAGGCTCACTGTTTCATCAGTCATCAGGACCTACCCATCTGTGCATGCACCCTGAGCAGTAAGGTAAAACTCACAGTTCAGCACCTACAACCATTCACACCAGTAACAGCAGCTCAGCAAATCATTCTTTCAGCATCCCTAAACTTATCAATCCTGTATTTGAGCTTCATTTACAGCCTGGCTCCACCAGAAAACAGATCTTTGCTGGGCCACTGGGTAATTGCTTAAGACAAGCCTGAGGTTATCACATACAACTGACTAGATCTGAAGGAAACCCGAACTAGTGTCTGGGAGATGCACTTAAGGGGCATGAAGAGGTGGAGATATACCTTGAAGCAACTTGTGAAGGAGTGGATTGTTACAGCTCGAAACATCACTTTTCAGGGACCTTTTCCAAAACAAAAGGATAAAGCTGTGAGGTCAGGATGACACATTGTCGATCCAGTGACACGTAAGCAGATGTCAGTAATAGAATGAGTGACAGAATAATAAGTGAAAAATATTTCTATTTTTACTGTACATTAAATCCACTATAATTATTCCCTGCAATCACAGCAAACACTAAATCCCATCTATTACCACTTAAAAGGCAACGACAAAGTGCGATTACAAAGTAGTTCTGACTATAAAGGTCCACTATTGCCAGTATTATGTTTTTATGGTGCGAAATAATGGCTTAGAGATATGACTGTGTGATCTTTTTCCTTGAGGCATTTATACTTCTTAAAGACTAATTTTGCCGATAGAGACGTAAAAAACGTGGGGTAAAATTTTTAGGGCCAGGAAAGTCCTTATCAATATTTTCTGTTTCACAAATCTTTTCCATGGGAACATGAGGATATCAGGTGCAGGCTATTGTAACATACAAGGCCAACTGAAAATCCAAACTTTGTTCCTCCGAACAAAGTCAGGCTTAAGAGAGGAGAGTTTACTGCAGGCTTCAACTGAAACAGATTCATCATGAACTCCAACAGCACAAACCAAACTCAAAGATCCAGGAGATTTTTCAGCCCCTTGCTCCCAGGATTGCTCTCAGCAACCAATAGTTTGGAATAAACCTCCCCCCAGTTTTATTGCTAACCATGATGTTACATGGTGTGGAATATCCCTTCGGTCAGTCTGGGTCAGGTGTCCTGGCTGTCTCCCCTCCAAAACCTCTGCACACCCCCAGCCTAATCGCAGGGGGCAAAGTGAGACACAGTCTTGACACTGTGCAAGCACTGCTCAGCAACTGCTAAAATACTGTGCACTGTCAACACTGTTTTGGTCATAGCTAAAGCACAGCCCCATATGGGCTCTTGCAAAGAAAATGAACTTGAACCCAGTCAAACTCAGCAATCAGCAGTAATAGGCTGCCTCCTGCAACACTTAGAAATGTTCAAATACACTTTTATTCATTTTATTTTAAAGAACTCCACAAAGGCAGTAAGTAGTCAGAAACCTGCCTTGCTTTGAACGCTAAGGTTGGGGTTACAGATCTTTAGTTAAACACTGACTTAGAGGCTTAGCTAGGAAAGGCTCTAAGATATGTCTCACAGCAAGATGGAATTGCCCCCACAAAATTACACACCAACCTCTGCAGTAAGATGGCCTGCTACCTGCTGAATGTCATATGTAGCGCAGGTGAGTGAACAGGTGCTGGTATACTGAAATAAATGTTGCCTTCCTTTTGCATTCTATTTGGGAAAGCCTGTTATGCTTTCCCAAACTTCTCCCCTTCACCAAGCTAGGAAGTTTTCCATCTCCAAGAGAGTCATCATCCTGCCACTTCCTCCTTCCCAGCTGATTTAGGAATTAATTGCCTACTGCTGTGTAAAGGTCTGGATTTATTTCCTAAACCAAAACCGAATATAACCAGCCTCATATTTCTTCTTCCCTCTAACAGAGGAAAGGAGAGCATTGAAGTGGACTCTAGAAGGATTATCAGCGCTTTCAAACAAGAAACACAGAGGATGAAAATATTAAAACAGCAAGACATATCTGAAAAAATATTTTTAGTGCAACTGAGATCCTTATCACTACTACAGAATTCAAGTGAGCTTTGAGGGATTCATGGTGTCACTTTCATCCCTAGAACTGAAACAGGCCCACAACAAACCTGTCCAGAATTAAAAAAAGCTTGCTGCTCTTCTTAGCAGGGGACAACAGCTACAGAGAAAAGTTAACAGTGGGGAAGCAAAAGGCTTCTGTTATCCCACTAGTAACCCTCAATGAGCAAGAATGTTTGCTGAAATAAGGCAAATATATTACACCTACTCCAAAAAATAACACAGTGGAGTAGGAGGAAGCAGTGATCTCATGTTAATCCTGCCATGCATGAAGAGACTGTTTATTTCCAGCAGTAAGAGGCCAATTTACGTGGTGTGGTCCAGGGCTAAGATGTCTGGCAAACGCATTTGGAGAAAAAACTTCGGTTTAGATACCACATGCTAGCTCACACAGATGAATAACCCAGAGTTACAATGCTTCTAACAGCTCTGGTTATCCAGCTCTTTGCCATAACCAAATAACAACTAGCTTTTAGAAAACAGCAGCTATTTTATCCCATAGAAACCTGTCCGCCAAGCTGGATCACAGGAAGCTGCACAACAACAAAAGTCAACAGAGACAGACCTTATTTATACTGGTAGACAAAGTCTCAGCTCAATGCTGGGGGTGACTTACCTCTTGGTTAATGTCATTAGTTCCAAAACTGAGCTATGCAGAGTCTCGCCCATCCCACCAGCCACTTCAAACAGGGATGCAGACTGAACAGCCAAACACTGCACAGCCCAACAGGGACTAAGGATATGCTGTTTCCACCTCCCTCACAGGATTTGCTTGGAAAAACAAACCAAATTTGGAAATGCCCAGCATAAGTTACATCAGACAAAGACACTAAAAAAAAATTATTGGTGATAATCATGTGGCCTACAGCAGGCTTTTCTTGCTCAGACAGCCAGGTACCTTGGTAAGAGGGATAGGGGCGTGAGACTTCCACTCTCCTGATAAAATGACACTCACTTATTAAAATATTCCAGACACAGCCCAGATCTTTGCCATAGCAACTAACACTAAATGCATTAACTACTTAACTAAGTTTGTTATCTAGGAAAACATGTTCTCTTTACATTTCAGTCTTGGAAGTTTAAAGAAAAAAGACATCAATATATGCAGCAAACTCTTACCTTCTCCACATCCTCTGCCTCAGTTGCTGTATACTGCAGAACTTCACTGGTCTCACTGCAAAGAGGAAAAAAACCTGAATTCCCCTGATACACGTGCTCTACCCATCCTCTCCCCCTTGCTCCAAAATGAAGCAGAAATGAAGTTCAAACACAGAACCACAATCATTACAATACTTCAGAATGTCTACAGAGCTCTTGCAATAGAATTCCTATTAGACATGCTAGTTGCTTCTTTCCTGGGGGAAAATTGTTTTTAAAGGGCGAATGGCCTATCTACAGAGTTTCAGCCCAAAATTTAAAAAAAAAAAATCCCACCTATAAATTTGTTTCCATTTCACTAACATGGATACTTGCCTCAATTACAATTGCTCAATCTATTTGAAGCCAAGTAAAATTTTCAACCGGTCTGACCCAAAACTTCAGTAGACCTTCCTTTTTACGAGTACATTAATACCTAATGGGTAATTTTTAAGAGAAGAATACATTCATTCACCATTATTTACTAAGACTGATCTAACTGAACCAATACAACACAGGCAGCAGGATCTGCAAGTATAAAAATATTTCAAACAGGAAATAGCTTCCGGGTTACAAGATTGTTTTCTTAGTCATACAGCAGCCTTCATGGAAAACTCACTTGCAGACCAGGGCCACGACAGGAGTTCCTATATGAATGTGTTTGACATATGCATAGCTGCCTTCAGTAACACTCGCTCCCAAACCTGCTCCAGCTACCCTAGCTAACAAATGAGCTAGCAAAACCTTAAGAGAAAATAAAATGGATGCCCAATGGGCACAGTATATCAAACAACACACAGCAAAGCTGAAGAGAGTGGAGAAGAACTTGCAGGCTTTTTGCTTGGTACAACCACTTCCACGTTTAAGCAGGACTAAGGGTGGCAATCAAAGTTGCTCTAAGTAGTCACACTATCAAAATAACTTATGACTGCAGCAGTCCAAACTAGTTCCCGGTCTGCATGAACACTGGTCAGTCAAAACAGCTCTGGTAAAAAAGTTCATTTATAGAATGCCTTTTATTCCAATGAACCCCCAAGCTCCTACAGTCAGCCATCCAACTGGTACTCCTAGTAAGGGAACTACTTAAAAGAGTATGTTCTGAGAACACGAGAACAAAGCAGACAGCCTCATGCAACTCTTCAGTCACAGAAAGAAAATAAACTGCCTTCTTCCAAAGGGAGCTGCTGTGCCAGCGTAGCACACATACTCACATCATCAACTGTCAGCAGTCAGACTTCACCAGAATCTTATACCAGCAATTGCGTTAACAATGCACATCAAATCACTTGATACTCTGCAGATTATTAGGGCTTTCATTAAGAGAAAACAGCTGCTCAGTGGAAGCAGTATTGGATATGAAAGAGAACATTAGCAATCGTAGGGATCTGGTCCAGGAAAAGAAAAACTAAATGAAAGCTGTCGGTTCAAAATCATGAGGTAGCACCTGCCACAGCATCAGGCTCACAAATCAGTATCAAAAGAAACATTAAAAGTCATTCATAAACATGTCAGACTAGAAAGGAAGCACCAATTTTAAGACAGCCAAATAGCCACTATAAAACACAACACTTCAAGTAGCATCAGTTTGCTCCAGTTAAATGGAGCAAGTTAACAGGAATTTTACTAAGTAACAAACTACTGCTCCTTTTCAAGAAAAGCATGAGAACAAGCAAATATAAAGCTTGAACATGGAAAGTACGCAGGAGTCAATAGTCTATAATAACACTTTTTAGCCTGTTTCAACCAGATTTTGGTCATCCTCAAGAGTGAGGGAATCAAATACTTCTTAGTCTGCCCTAGAGACGAACAGCCAGGCATGAACATAGTTCACTGCATCACTCTGCAAGCCAGCAAACAGTAAAGACTTCTGCTTTTTTATCCAATACATAAGCCATCGGTGAGGTCCAGAGATGAACAAAGCTGAAGTTTCACACATTTACAACTCCCCCACATCAAGAGGACAGAGACGTCCTTCTTCAGACCTGAGCACAAAGATTGATCTGACAAGCTATTCTAAGCCCATCCACTGATGAGGACGTCAACCGGAGTGTGTTTGCTTAACAAGTGTACTGACCATGTACAGACAAAGGGTTTTTAAATCACAGCAGGACCAGGTCTAGGACTTAGCCTCACTAAACACCACACTATATTTCTGGGGCTTGATTTGATCCAAAGAACAAGCAGCATTTTTCTCCTCACCAGTAAATTCAAACCAGTTTTGCCCTCAGGGGGATGGCAGTCCCAAAACTTTCCACCCTCCCTCTCCATCCTTAGTCCCCATTTCCCTCTGGGAATTGTCTGCCAGCTGCTAACCTGTGGGGGACACCACTGAGAGGCAGCTGACCATACATAACACCAACAACTTCTGGCCTGTATGAATGACAAGCTCGATACGAAGTTACTCCATTCAATTGCTGACAGCGCAATTCCACTGATTTACCTGAGAGCTGGAGCAAGAAAAAGCAAAGGGAGACAAGCAGGCTACAACATACCTAAAGATCTGATTTGACTTAAATAGTCAGCTTCATGCACACACTGAACATTGCACCACTAGAGATCATTTTGATGTACAGTAGGCCGGGCTCTGTGAGCTTTAACAGTTTCCCTTCCACAAAGCTCTTTGTTTATGAGGGATCAAGATTGCTTACATTCACATGCTTTTAGATTTTTAAGACAGCTGGATTTTTTGATAGACCTCTTCTATAAGAATTGGGACAGCTGGCAAACTCATCTCAAGTTTACAGTGCACACATTCTTGCTTCCTGGCTAGAGAAAGCCAGGGGAGCCCAGAAAAGAGCACCTCAGCCTGGTGCAGAGCAGTTAGCAGTGCAGTCTTTATTTAACAGCATCAACAAGTCCATCAAATCCTTTTCAGATGTGGAAGGCTGTCAGGTGTATGTCTCACCTCATGAGGTGGAGAAGCAGAAGCAGAAGTGGGAACAGCAAGCCCTTACCTGAAAACCTCTTTCTCCTCTCACTCTGCATCGCTATCAAGAAACTAGCCAAAGCTATGACAACTGAAAGGCGGTTTTAGGAGTGAAAAATCCCAAACTTTCCAAAAAAGGCCTGAGAAAAGCTTGTATTGCAACAAACACACCTCAAGTCATGCAAAGCCAAACACACTGCTATAGCTATAGCATTCAGGACATCACTCCAACCATTGTTGCAAGCTAACAGAAAGAGAAATAAAGGCGTTGATACCAACCACACAGAGCACTGGCAGAAAAGGGAAACAGAACTTGTTTTGCAGAGCAAACACAGACCAGATTCCTGGCTTTGCTGCTGAAGTGCTCTTAACTATGAGCAAATTTATGTTTCCTTGTACCTAACTCCATGGCAACAAAGATGCAACACCCCAAGACAGCGGGATGAAAAAACATACCCCAGATCGGGGCTTGTTAGTTTTGTGACATACTGCGGTTGGACTTGATGATCTTAACGGTCTTTTCCAACCTAAATGACTCCATGATATTAGATAGGACAATTAGGGAAATTCCTATTGTACAACATCACACCCACTCAGAATCTGTTGAGTCAAAAACCATCGTTTTATAAAGCTCGTACCTAAAAAGACTTCATTTTTAATCTTCCATCAGGCTTCTCAGATGCCAGAGGTAACTACACACAAGTACACGTAGTTGTTATGCCATGGATGCAATACCCCTTCATTAGGACATAATACTGTACCATGTAGCACAAAGAATTTCTCACATGACGCAGTTTTGTTTGCTTATATTGGCAGAGATTTTAGGATTTGCACATACTTGTACTCAAAGACTCGGACTAAACAGTTTGGTTTGCTAACCTGATCTCTGGTAAGAAGGTTTTCTTGTAAGCATCCTCAATGTGCTGGAGATACAAAGGAGACACCTTTTTCTCATACGGCTGAAAACAAACAGAAAACAATGTTGTGAAAACAGTTTTCTTTCTTTTCCCACCAGCGCAGACTCCAGTCTAAGCACAAAGCACTGTTATGCCATCTGTCAAGAGCCACTCTCATATCAGCAGCCAAATGTCCAGTGAACCACATGCACATTAATGAAAATTTTAAGAATTAAGACATTTGAAATGTTTAGAATTTCTTATGTGGCACTAAATATCTAGAGTGCCCCAAAGAACAAGTCATTCTGCATTAATTGCTGCTTTACCATGTACTATTTTGTCCATTGTTTTAATAATTAGCTGCATGAGCAAGATTCTTATATGCTAGTGAATCTAGAAAGGGAAAAGCAGGTTCAACAGAAGAATGTAAAAGCAAAAGAAACTTTCTTGCCATTTATTTCAGTTTATCACAGTAATCAGCTCGTTTTCCCTGAGGTGCATGAACTAAAAGTACCACACAACAACAGTCTCAAAAAGTTTAATTTTCCAAGGACTGATCAAGCCTCACTACCTGCATATTCAAGTTACAGATCACCATCCAGAAAAAAGGAAAATCAAAGAATAGAAGATTGTCCAAGTCTGCCTTTTCAAAGATAGGGCCACTGTGCACCTATTTCTCCAGTTTCAGACAACTGCATAGGCAATCAACCACTCCAAAAATGTTTCTTTGAGATCTCCTGGTTATTACACCTGCTGTCAAACAGTTCACCACCAGCCGCACACTGTACTTCAATGCCACACTGCAAAATGCTACGAATTTCTCTAATCTATCACATGTTCCTTCAGCTCAATTCTAAAATTAAATTACGTTTCCTGCTTGAAATGTTCATCCAAGATGCTCATTAGGTTGGAAGGATCTCTGCCAGTTTGGCCCACTGGAGGGCTTTTCTTTTTCCAGTGACTGGCAACAACAGCGCACTGAATACCAATCGAACTCTCCATTCACCGAGAACGCAGAATTCCCAAAAATACCATCCCCAAACAAGCACTACTGTTCAGAAGCGCCACTGTGCCGAGTAAGTTACTGCAGCAATTTCTGCCAGAAGGTCTCAAAAATGCCACCGACCTTTATGTTCACAAGAGCGAAGAACTGAGGTTCCCACAATACATTAAGAAGCTTCTAAATCTCTCACTGAAGTTGCTCAAACAAAAAAGCTATGGTTTTCCCACACAAAAGTATCTTGTTCATTAAAGCACAGACGCATGTTCAGTCATGGCCTAAACTGCTGGAGGGCAGAAGGGGAAAGTCACTCAACCAGCAGAATACGCAATTCAGGCCATGCAGATCACGAAGCAGCAAGGGCAGCCTTCCATTTACAGCTCTGAAGTCACTTCCCTTCGGCAACCATCAGTCTCCCTCTTAAATGAGCAGGAAACTGCAAAACAAAATGCTGCTAACTCACCCTGGTACACTAATGTACACGTACAGACTCCAAAAAGTGAGCATTGACAAGAATTTAAGAGACCTGAATTTTTTATTAATAAATCAAAGTTTTCTTTGAATCTATCAGGCTTTCCTCAGTTAAATGCTTCACTTGACTACATTTCCCCTCAGCCTTTGAACAAGGTATAAGCTAAACGTCATTTAATCCTCATAACACATCTGAGAACAGTTACAAGTACATGAGGGGGAAGGAGGGGGAAGAAAAAAACACCCAAACCAAAAACCTTATTTGGATTAGTCATTACACAAGAACACTCTACAGCTTTTCTGATCCAAGACTATTTAAATAAGGCAGTAATCCAATATGCTGACGTAACAAGAGAGGTAATTTGAAGACAATACTGCAGAACTAAGTTAATTCTCTTTTCAACAGTAGTCTCCATCCCATACCATGACTTCAAAAAAGACATCTGGAAGAAAGAAACTCTGTAACCTCAAAGAAAGGGTTTTCAGAGCAAAAGTGAGAATGTCCTGCAACTGTCAAAGATCAACAACAAGTAAAAGTCATATAGCACAACCTCAGGCTAGAATGAAGTTCCGCTAGTGACAAGAAGCAACCGTATTTATCAACTTTATGTGAGATTAGCCAGAAAGCACCCTGGATTTTCTCTTTTCTGTGTTAACACAAAAGTGCCAAGCAGTAATTTTCTTACTTTCAGAAAGCTAACTGAACCTGCTGATCGCAAGGGACCCACGCATTAACATCAACAGAGGTCTGAAAGAGCAGTCAGCTGGGGAAGCTGGAGACACGGACCACAGCTGGGGCTTCTGGCACTCAAGAAGTACCAATAATCTTAGAGCATATTGCAAGAAGCATATTACCTGGCCATGATGCCTGAAACTGCAGCTACAAAGGCTGTTTTTTAAGAGCAGGTGCTTTTTATAGAACTTCTCATTACAGAAATGACAGCATGCTGATGCAGTCAAAAAAAAGCAGGTTTGTTTTTTTTTCCAGAGCAAGCATAACAGAATACCCACACAGTCATCACCAACACAGTTCTTATACCTAAGAGGACAAGAAGCTTTTCTGAAGTAGAATTTTGCATCAAACACCAGCGGAATCACACACAAGGGCATGATTACAACAGATATTAATAGGTAGTAACAGTGGCAAAAGAGAAAGTTACCTCTCCTTTCTCTTGAATCCTCTTCTGCACCTCTGGGACTGGTACATCTATATAAATGACCAAGTGAGGCGGCAGGAATTCACAAATGCTGATCTCTTTGATCTCGTTGTAGTGATCAATACCTGTATAAAAACAAAACCAAGCACATCAGAGAGCTAAAGGCAGCCCAGCTGAACACACACACGCACGTTCCAAATGAGGTCAAGTGCAATAGGAACAGCATTAAAATTACAACCTATTGGGTAATGAATCTGCAATCATGTCTTGAGTGAGTCTTCCTGCATTTGCTAAACACATTCTATTTACAAATAAATCAACAAATCACAACCCCCACCTTTGTATTTGTAGCATCCTCTTCTTGGCTGGTATAGCAAGTTTAGGGCAAGCTCTTCCTCAAATAAGATTCAGGAAGTTTTTAGAATAAACAATCTTCCAGAAACAGAAGTAAGCACAATTAAACTAAGAAGCTACAAGCACTGCGATACAAGAATCTACCATCAGTTATATCAAAGTGGTGGGATTTATTTCTGACTTTTAAAGAAACCTAGGGTTTTCCTCCATCATTTAGAGACAGCCTCTCAAAACATCACAGAGCCATTGCAGCACTTGGGTCACCTAGGTTGACCCCTGGCTGGGGCTGCCTTCTGCCACAGCCTCACACATGAAATAAACGGCCCCATCCTACCACAAAGATGAGAGCATGGCAAAGGTGGTAATGGAAAAAAAAAAGTCTTCAAGAAGACTTTGCAAGAAGTACTCCATTTCCCACCACGGGAGGAAACCCAAAGATCAGGCAGGTGTTTGCCTTGCCCTCCGACGCATACACAAAAGCGGGCTCGGGTGAAGCAAATATTTAAAGAGGTCACCAAACCCAGCAGTGTCCCTCCTTCACCTGTTCAGATGCATGCTCTGCATTACCATTACTAAAGCACAAGCAACAGCAGATCTCTCCAAAAACACCACCACCAGACTCCACTTTGAAGGACAGGACTGAAGGACCTCATCTTCCCCTACAGAAAAATTTATCTGAGAGAAGCCGGTCACTTCTGTGCAACTGGGTTCTTCTACCAAAGCAATCAACAACCTAAAGCATTTTTGGGGCAACAGTTGGTGATTAGGAAGCCATGGAGGTTCAGGGAAAGCATCTATTCAATATTGAAGTGGCACAAATAACACAGGCTCCTTTTAATCTAGCTCCAGTGCAAGCTTTCCTCAGTAAGACTCACCGGCTCAGCCAGAAATGTAGTGCCAAGCTTCCAAATTCAAGCAGTTTGTGAAAAACCTACTGTGCTTGGCAGCAGTCAGCAGTACCTCTGATCAAGACGTTTGCAGTTTAAGGATTTCAGTACAATCCATTATTTGTTGTCAGGATTTTATATTAACTATAAACTGTGGGTTGCTGGGCTTTGCTTGCCTCTCCAATGCAGAACAGTGAGACACGGTTCATTGTAATGAGCTCTCAAACTTATTCAGCAAGAAGCTGCAACTTACAGTGGGTGTTAAAAAACAAACACACACCACCTAAACCTAAGCCAAATCAAACAAGACAGCAGAAACATGAGGCAGTCAGGGAAATAATTACCTTCACCTCAGGAAGTGACAAAACACCAGATTTGCTAACAGTCAGAAACAAGAATTTCAATAGTATTTTATTTAGGGGTCAGCTGATGACCAGGATTTACATCTATTTTCTCCAGACTTTCAAACTTCTGTGCAGGTCTAAGTTTGCATGTTTTGGCTGTGCCTAGTCTCCTATATGCATCATGTAACTGCTCCATTCCTAGCCAAGGGATGGAGACTCCACAAGCCTGCTCACAAGGCACTATCAGAGCAATACTGCGCTACTCAGGAGCTCAGTGCCCATAAACCTGAACTACAGAATCACTGAGGTTGGAAGGAACATCTACAGATTAGCTGTTTCAACCACTCCGCTCAGAGCGGGGTCAACTAGAGCAAGTGGCTCACGACTGTGTCCCACAGGGTTCCAAGTATCTCCAGGATAAGAGATCCCACACAGCCTCCCCAGGCAATCGCCACAGGGTTTGACTACTTTCACAATAAAAGATGGGGGGTTTTTTCTTATAAATAGAACTTCCTTTATTTCAATTTATGCCCTTTGTCTTTTGTCCTCTCACTAGGTGCCACTGAGAAAACTGGTTCCATTGAATACTTCTCCCAATCAGGTATTTATACACATAAACACCATCAGTTACTTGTACACATTCCCCTAAGCCTTCTCTTCTCCAGGCCAAAAAAATCCCAGCTTTCAGCCTCTCCTCATACATTGGATACTCTAACTTCTTAGTGACGTTTGTGGCCCGTTGCTAGACTCACTCCAGCACGTTCACATCTTGCTTCAACTGGTAGCCCAGAACTGGGCACAATACTCCAGATTTGGCGATCCCTTCCCTTGACCTGCTGACAACGCTCCTCTTCATGCAGCCTCCCGGTGGCATCCTTTGCTGCAAGGGCACACTGCTGCCTCCCATTCCACTTGGTGCCCATCAGAACCCCCAGGTCTTCCTCTACATAACTTTCTAGACAGTTGGCTCCCAACTTGTATGAGTGCCCTGCAGTTATTCCTTCCCAGCTGCAGGACTTGCATTCTCTTTTGGAGACCTTCACGAGGTTATCATCCATTTCTCCAGCCTGTCCAGGTTCCTCTGAATAACACCAAAAACATACAGTGTTGTCAAACACTCCCCTCCCAATTTTGCATCACCTGCGAATCTGCTGATGCTACACTCTGTCCTGTTGTCCATGTTTTAAACCCAGTTTAAACCTGGTTCAGCCCCAGTATCCTCCCCTGGGATAGACCACTGGTTACTGGCCTCCAGCTAGACTTTGCGCTACTGAACCTTTGAGCCCAGCAGTTCAGCCACTTTTCAATACACTGCCCACGTACCTAATCCATCGTGATCAGTTTGTCAATGAGGAGGTTGTGAGAGGCAGCACTGAAAGCCTTGCTTAAGATAAACAACAGCCATTGCTCTCTGCTCATCCACTGAGCTAGCCCTCTACAAGGAGCTGACCGTCAGGTGTTTAAGTGTGATTTCCTTTTCATAAGACTATCATGACTAACATCCATCACCTTCACAGCTTCATATGTTTGGAGGTGGCTTTCCATCACCTTCCTGCAGATCAAGCTGAGGCTGACTGGCCTGTAGCTCCCTGGATCCTCCCCCTCGCCATTCTTGAAGACAAGAGCAACAGCTGTGTTCCTTTGACATTCAAAAGGGAGCTGGCCAATAGGCCAAACACTGCTGACCCATTATTTACCTCCCACCTAATGCTGCAAGATCACGGTCTGCCTGAAGGACCTCTAGCCTTCATCAGCATGCTCACCCGTGCTTGCAGGGAACTACAGGAGTCTCTGGCTGACAGGACACAAGCAATACGTAGAACACATGTTCTTTAACACGCAAGCAGAACTCAAAGCCTTAAAAGAAAATCTGGAAGTCTCACAGCTTGAGGTCAGTCATTGATGCACAGAACAGCAAGGTGCTAAGCACCTTATGAACAACTCTGAATATTCAAATGGGTCTGTTTTTCAAGCAGGCATTTTTCTTTTTTAAAAACTAAGCCACTACACTTCTAACAAATTATGGCAAAATAAGTTCCTTTTGTGTGCAAGTAACTTACATCGCTTGTGGATATAGCCTTGTTTAAACATTGCATCCAGGAACACAAAGTCGCTGTAGGGAGAGCGCTCCATCACCACACCTTGTCCTGCAATTGAAAGTTCCAGTCAGCAAGGCTCAAAGAGACTGCTGGCAGCAACACTTTAAATCAAAGACAGGACTGCTCTTGCGGTCAATCTTTTGAATGCTTTTCTAGAAATTCTAAGTGAAACAAAAAAGCAAGGTTTTGGCTTGCACAAGTGTACTGGATACATACGCTGAACACACCTGTCTCACCCATAGACTCTCCTACTGCACCTATCATTACAGTAGCTAAGCACTATTATATTTAAGCAGTACATTTACACATGTGTCTGAAACTTTCTGGCATTCACATCTTTTCACCTTTTTTGGTAAACACTTAAAGCACAAGCAACAGGTTAATCAGCGTAGGAAATCTTTTCCTCACCAGAAGAAACTCAAATTATAACAATACCACCACAAAAGAGTAATTTAATGAAATCAAGAGGATTGAACAAAAGACACCATTAGGAACTAAGTCTAGGGAGAGTTTTAAAAAGGCTGTACAACTCACAGCTAGCTCGGTCTGTTTAAAATGTCTTTTTGAAAATAATCATCAGGGATCGCCAAATTAAAACTAATGAAATTGGTAACTGGTACGTATTTCCTTTGCTAGAAATTATATAATACACTGTTCTAACAGAAAACATGCAAGGCAGTTTTCTAAATGGGCTGTTAACCTGTAGTCACTAAGGGGGGAAAAAATATAAAAAGCTTAACGACGTAAGAGCCTTTAATTTCAAAATGCAGATACTAGCAAAGCACATCAAAACAGCTTACTCGCAACTCGTACTCGGAAGTTAATTCAGAAGGGAAATTTACTGACTGTGAAATCTAACCTGTGGTCAGCAGATGCTCCAACGCATCAGCGTACTGTAAAACACGATTACCAAACAGCCAAGCTTGCAGTCGGTAAGAGTGTCCATCAGTGCATTTCGGATCATTGTAAAACCTCTCTAGGTTGCAGAAACCATTAAATTTCTCATGCAGCAGCGTTCCGTCTCCCGTGATTCTGTCCAGGTAATGGATGTCTGCTTCTGGGAAATATTTCATTCCTGACACAAAAGAAACCCACAACAGAGCACCAATCAAAACAATAAGTTTTGTTCATTTACAGTAAACACCTATTCAGCTCATTTAAATATACAGCTGCACTTCAAACAACTCTTGAAAACAGCATAAAATCCTTTGGTTAATGGCATCACAGAGGGCAGAGAAACCCTAATTTGAAGTATCGCTATCTTTCCCCTCCCCACTGAGAGCCAAGCTATCGTTCTAAGCAGAATCCTTTTGCCACCAATCCTCTAAACAACCTTGATGCGCTGTGTGCACCCGTGCAGAAAATCCTACCTCTCAAGGTGCTCAGTGACTCTACCAGAACCAGCAGCTCAGTGCGCAAATTGACTTCATCAGAACTGAGATTTCATTCACAACAAATCATACCTACATGAGTATCCCACCGATCTGACAAACATCCTGTCCTCATCGCAAGCCTCGCTAACATTTTATTCTCCCCTTATCTATAAGCCCTCCACATTAACTGCGGCACTGCCTAACTAATAATTTGCTAGTGAAGAAATGCTGGTTCTTCCTCTACATAAGATTCAGAATTACACCGCTAAATTCTATTAATTATTAGAGAAATAGGTAAAAGCAGATGTACCTAGTTTTTCTGCTATTTGTTGTGCAAGCTTGCCCTTCCCAGAAGATAAGTTTCCCTCCACAGTAAAGATTTTGCTGTATTCGGTAAGCTTTTTTGTAGTTCTCTCTCCCAACATATAAGCCAGCCAACCATACTGCAAGTTCTGCTCAGGGCTGATATGAATTCTTGCCTGGAAGAAAACACAACAGAATTAGCCTATTTTGGTTTTCTTAGCTGAACTAGGCATGCTCAAAGTGCAGCTTTTTCAGACCTTCTGCACACACAGGAGGATACGCACTCTCACATCTAACACAAGGAATTTTCATGCAGTAGTTAGCGCTGCCATTTCAGCTTAGCAGCCGAAGCAGTGAAAAAGTGGAGAAGCTCTTTATGAAACACAAGGCTGAGATGACAGGAATCATGAAACAATTTTCAGTGCGTTTAGAGCTTGAAGCAAGATTGCTCTGTCAGAACTCTGCTCTGAACCTACACAATGACTGACACTTTCCACACTTACTGAAGGCCACAGACACACAACATACCCGGCCTCCCCAGGGGAGAACCTACAGATCCTACAAGGCTTTTGCTTGAATTTTTGTTTGTTGGTGGGTAGATATCAACATTAAACCCACTCTCTCCCAGTCTCTCAGGAGAGTTACAGCTTCATTTCTGCACAACACAGTTCCTGGCTAAAGGTGGGAAAAAATACCCACCCGGCCTGGAAAGCTGAAGGCAGTACCTTACTGAGCTCTGCTCTGCCAAGCCGCCCAGAGGTAAAAACTGAGTAAGTCTTACTTTGAGCAATGTAGTGACCTCACTTACACACGTGGAATTTTATTTTTATTTAATCTTCTTCTCCTTGCACTGCTGAAGATCACATTCACATGCTGAAGGTCAGTGGGTCATTACGCTCCAGTCTCAGGTATTTACTTGTGCCTCTACCTTAAATCTCACCTCCTCTCCAAAGTCCCTGCATTCGCCCACTGGGAATGTCCCCTTCCAGGGAGCAGGCTAGCCCAGCCCAGCCTC